CAACATGACAGCAGGTTCTGGAGTCATGACACAGTGCAGGCTGCGTGCCTTGAGGTGTATATGTTCATGAAATATAAAACAAACAAGATTAGTGCCCTTTTTTCTAATGATAAAGCAATTCGTTTGTACAAATAGGCAGGGAGACTGTGGGCTGTGTTGACTGAAAAACACAGATGGTCTGATGCTAAAGAGGAATGTGTGTGTTTGTGTGTGAGAGGATGAAGTAGAAGGGTAGATAAGAGGAAGCTATAGGAGGAAAGGAGAGACTCAACACTTGCAGCTATACCCCCCCCCCATTGCTTCGGTGAAGGTCTGATAGGGAGCAGATTTCATAACAGCCCAATAACACCCTCCAAGGGGTCTCAAGATACAGCTATTCTATCTCTGCAAGAGCTGCCATCATCTTTACCTCAACAATCCAGCCCCTGTCAACAGCTGTCAACCCCTACAACCCCCTGAGCCGACTGATATTGACAATAAAACAGGAGGTAGGATCAGTGGGTTGCCATGAATGTGTGCACACATGCGTGTAAGTTTGCGTGTTGGTGAAAAGGTCCAAGAGTGGACACTCATTCCAACCCAGAGAAGTGTTCGGTATGCACCTGGTGGCTATACTCTCACACGGCGGGATAAAGACAGATTTCATAGAGGCATGGGGAGGAATACAGAGAGGCAGGCGCACAGAAAGAAAAATGTATAATGATCCGCGTTGTCACAGCCATGACTTTTGGACAGCTCTGGTTACTTGCAGTGTGCTGCAGAGGAGATGGAGAATTGTAAGCCTTGTCATGCATCATAAATGTAATACCATATGGGAATGCAGCTCTCACACACAGTAGAGAATAGGAAATTTGTGCACCCCATAAAGAAGAATGTATTGCCTTTTACGAGGTAGCAAAGGACATATTGTGTGGCAGGCTTCATAAACATACGCATGTTTCTCTTATGAGTTTTTTTCCAGGATTTGAGGGAAGGCTATACAGAACGAGAGCGGAGGATTAAGAGGTAGATAAGCATAGACGCTGTACTGATTGAGAAGGGAGAGGATGAGTTAGAAATGGAAATAGATGAGAATGATCTGAGATCTGAATGTGAATGGAAAGGAGGTTGAAGGTGCAGACAAAAATAATCATGTATGGAATGTTTGTGCTGATACATACAACATCAGCATGCATACCATTTCGCTCACCTCTGCCCCAGAAGGGCTCTTCGGTGGCAATCTCATAGCTGCCTTTTTTCCCTCCAAATATTTGCCACAGAGTTATCAAACAAAAAGTGGATCTTGCGAGTGTGGAGGAGTTTTCATCTCACTGTCTCTGGTGGGATTGTTAAAGCAGACAGTGTCTATAGATCTTTGGGGGTCACAGCATTCAGAAACCTCCATTTGTTGGTGCCATCGTCCCCTCGGTAACAATAAAGGACAATCAGTGTGTGTGAATCAGCTCATGGCAGGGATCTGGACCCCTGCACCTCAGGGTGAAGACCCTATCATCATCTTTGCTTGCTGCACAGCTCTACAGAGGGAGCAGCAAAGCTTAAGACATCATGCGCAGATTTGGCAGTGCTTACTTTCAGTATATCTGGCTATTTCTCAGTCCTCTCCCTGTGACTTAGCAGCATCTGCAGTGAGACTGATCAATAGCTCACACCAACAAGAGGTCTTGAGGCCAATTAGGCCAGGCAAGGTGGCGTCAGACTTTGTGTCAATAAAGCTTGTCTGCCCTTGGGAGCAGTGGATAATGAATAATAGCAGGTAGATATTTTCCGAGTGTGTTTGTTTGTCTGTGTGTGTGTGTGTGTGTGTGTGTGTGTGTGTGTGTGTGTGTGTGTGTGTGTATGTGTGTGTGCGTGCGTGCGTGTGTGCGTGCTTTGTGCACTGTAGTTACTGATTTACATTAAATGATCATCAGCCCATCCAAGAGAAGTTCTAGCAAATCTTAAGCTCTTGACCGCACCCCATTTTGAGTAAATGCCTCTGTCACTGTTGGATCTGCTCCTACATACCAAATAGAGCAGGGAAGTGTGATGAAGGGGCGCCTGATCAAATGTCATTGTCCTGCTTTCATGCACAATACTTTAGCGCCCTCTGTTGGTGTGTTATATCACAACATGATAAAAAAATAGATACCTCATTATAAGTCTTATTATTGCATCGCAGTTGATGACTTTGATCTTAAACGTGCACACAACCAGCTCCTGACAGAACATATCTGTCATCCCCAGAGCCCAACATATTACAGTATTAGTTTAATTTCCCCTTGCCTTTGGCAAATCACTCCAAGTCTGCCCAATCCTGAAATATAATTTATCTGTCTGATACCTATCTCGGATTTATCATGAAGGTGAATTCATTAACCTTAATTGCAAGGTTTATGTGGTGAAAGGGCGAGGTGTGGCGAGGGTTCATAGAAGAGGAGATACGATCCAATTCATTCAGTATTGGTTTGCAAAAGACTTCTGGCCAAGCAATAACTGAGAACCTCTCTCTCACATACACATACACACACACACACACACACAGACACACACACATCCTCACTCTCTCTATGACAGTCAAGTTAATTAAAGTAGCTGAACAATCAGGTATCAGAGTAAAGACAGAATTAGTCATCCTCAGGCCAAGCACTTTAAATCTTAATCAGACATACACTAATTAAACTTCCTTTAATTGAGTATTTTGCTCTCAGATGCTTGTGTGTGGGGTATACAATGTTGACTCCAAATGTTTACTTGTAATTAAAAAAAGTAGTTATGTTATGTATTGTGTCCAGCCTATGTGGACTACAAATATTGTTGCAGTGATGAAACATTTTCAGGACAAGTACATAACGTCTTACATTAAACATTACATTGCAAACAAAGAATTTTGTCTTCCATCCAAAACTCAACAAAAAAAAATCACTAAAAAGTTTACCTTCCTAAAACTCAACACAAGTCCATCCAAAAGAACTCATCAGAAATGACAGACTGAGATGAAGGAATGAGCAATAAAATGAAATGAACGTTTTATATCATTAATCATACCTGAATCAAATTTTAAAATATAGTCTTTAACATTAAACTTGTCTGCTTCTATATACATAACGTTATACATGACTATGGACACAGAGCTCTGTGTAACTATTTATCTATGTTTACATCTTTATGTGCTTTTTTAGATATATTTTTATATGCAGTAGGAGCCATGAGTTGACATATTACTACAAAAGACAAGCTTAATGCTAACTTGTGTCATTTCAGCAGTGATGCACATGAAGAATTAGCTGTGCACATGCTTTAAATGTAACATTGTTGTATTTAAGAGAAGCTATCTTGACATGATTTACTTCACAAAGTTTATTTTTAGTGGTTTGTGAAGGACTTGTGTTGTGAGGTATGCTGCAACACCAGATGGAAAACTTAGGCTGATGCAAAAAAAAAGTAAATATGCCATGGCAAATTAGGCTCCTAGCTTGTTTTTCAAAGCTTGACTAACCAGTTATGTCATAACAAATCCTGGTCTGGGCAACAAAGAAAAAAACTTTGTTGCTGCTGCTTTGGCATCTTAACTGCTTCACATGTCAGTTCAGGCCAGAAAGAGCAATCCAACCATTCTCAACCTGAGGTACTCCAAACTAGGAATTCAGTTCATGAATCATACAGACCCCAAGCTCCAGCGTGAAATCACTCATTTGTTCCATTTTTCCATAGACTGAGAAAGTTGGACAGTGAATGCCAGAAGCTATTGCAAGAATGGGGATTTTTCTACCTCGTAATGCTTTCAGGAACTACCCACCTCACTCAGATTCTATGAATAGAAAGGAGATTTGGAGCAAGAGTAACGGATTGGAAAAGGAGAATGGAAGAAATGTACAGCTCCATCTCTCAGAAATAATTTAATTTTGTATTTGACCTCACTTCCTGAGGTGTCCGGGCCTACAGACATGCCTTGTGGTTATCAGGTGCCTTTCTTTCCCTCTTATCAGTGTTGTGAAGTTTTACAACATAAAGCTCCTGGTGGTATAAGGTTCACCACGCCTTAGTTGCTGCTGCATTGTACTCTGTACTCTGTAATGTGTTTTTTGGATACGTTCATAGTTTCGACTCAAGATAAGTCAAAATATGGATCAGAACTAACATTTGGAACATAACCAGGTAAGCTTGTGTTATCAGTAACACATTTCTACCCAGGAATAACACACCAGTCATTATTTTATGAGAGCTTGTGGCATAATTACAGAAGTTTTACAATTGTAGTTTAGTAATCCTTTTGTTCACACTTATCAAAACTAAAAGTCTGTATGGAACTCTGTTTTGTACTTATGTGTGTCAGACTGATGGTAAATCTATTAGGCATGTGCAGGGAAGAACACAAAGAGAACATATGTTGCCAGCAGGGAAAGGGACCAGCAAAAGTGTTGACATTTGTTTGCTCATAAAAACGCCTAAACTCTGGGAGTGTGCAAACCTTTGCATGAATGCCTTTTGGTTTGTGCTATGTAAGCACTCTCAAGGACGTTCATCCCACATGTGGTGCTTTCCATTAGAGGTGTTTTGTACATAAACAAACAAATCTTTAACACAAACTCCTCAAGTTAAACTGAGTGTGCTGAATCAACACTGTCAGTGTCCAAATGAGTGGGTTTTTGCATTGGAGCTCACCTCACCAGTGACTGAAAGCACATCTGCCTGTATAGACATCATAGACAGTATATTTGCTTATCTTCTTTATTTATTGCTGTTTTAATTCCTGCCTCATGTTCTGCCCTCAGTAATATACTGACTTTGGGGTTATTTCTGTTCAGTCACAGTCCATTATTTGTATTGGAACAGAAACATTGTGCATCAGGTGTCCAGAATCTTTATTTAAAACTCATACTAAAGTATTTTTACACATTATAAGATATTTATTCTCACCATACACTGTATAAAAAAAAAATTAAGTTGTCAGGAGTAGTCTTTCTAAAATAACGCAAGGGTGACCCATTTGGTGATCGTGATTCCTCCATCCGCACCTGGAAATGAAGAAGAGGTATGTGAAGAGGGAAAGAGAGAAGGAGCCTGTGGCACGGAAAGCACACACATCCATCAGTTCCTGCACTGAGGCCCCTGCTGTTTCTTATTCTTCAAAGGTCAAAGGGGTTCTCTCTGAGAGTTGCATGTCCCACTCCACAGTCATCATGTCTAAGCCAACAAATGGTAAGTTATTATCTGCAGGTAAAGACTCAGCATCGCTTTTCCCCCTCCTGCTCAGAAGGGCTCCATTTTCACTTTCAGTTTCACTTTGAGAATGAAATGCTCAGAGATTCTCCTATGTGAACATTATCGTGAAGTGAATGTAAATGTTTATAATGTCTAAATCAGGGACATTTGGCTGAATCAGTGCCCCTCTGAATCTAATATACTGTATATAATAAATATATAAATTTCTATGTATACCTTTATGCTGAGGAGACAATGGTATATATGCTATTGTTAAACTAGGTAATGACATATAAAATTGTAAAAGGGATGATTTAGCTGTTTTTTGTTTTACCCGCAACATTAATCCACATGGGCCTATTAATTTGTTGGTATTGTTTTGACTGTTATAGACACATTTCATTTATTTTATTTTTTTAAAGGCATGATTACAAATGCAGTTGCTTAAGTGACAGGTCTACATACACATTCACACATTCACAGAATATTCAATAAATAGTGGCTTCTCAACTCCTGTTCAAGGGCTCCATTTTTACTTCCTGTTTTACTCTGAAAATGTAAATGCTTATAGACATACCCATCTGTAAAACAGAGTCTGTACTGTGAACATTTTCCTGAAAGAAACCTTATTCATTTCTAAATGGACAAGTGTCATGTACCTGTACTGTTGTTTCAGTTTAGTTCAGCATTATTGAGCAAAAATAAGAAAAACATAGTAATCAAGAATGTTGTTGGTAATACTTGTCTACCAGAGATTCCAGTTAATGTGAGAAATACTTCGGTGTTCTTGCTCAAAGAACACTCTGTGGATGAGAGAAAGAGATATGTTTAAGTGAATACAAAATGAAAGGTGGTATTTATCTTATATTAAATTGCCTTTCAGATGATATTTATGCATATGCGCTGTCCAAGACCGTGACAAAAGTTTCATCACCTGCAACTGTAGGACTCTACTCTTCATGTCAGAACCGACTTAACATGATCCTCGGGCAAATGGAAGGTATGTTAACACTCTCTTTGTACCCCATTTCGCTTTAATCAACCACTTAAAGCCCTGTGTGTGGGTAGGAATTATTTGATTTTTTAAGGTCTTGATGTTGGCATCAAACGTAAACACTACACTTTGACCATGATTTACATGCAAACAACTGGCTGATACACTTACCATAATTCTCCTAAACAATGCATATATATCCCAGTTTAAGATGTGGTCCCATCACACACCTTGTGTTTTTCCCCTAACATATTAATGTCATACGGTAAATCACGGTAATTACAACGGGCTGCCTTAAAAAGACCCTTTCAGAGGCTATACATACTACTGTGTCCACACAATCTCCTCTATACCAATTTTAACGGAGCAAATGTCAACAAAACATACAACCTGGAATTACAGTTTGAACAAATGTCTGCACAATTATAAACATGTTTTTAGCTCATGAATGACAGACCAAGTACCACCTTGAATCTTAAAGATAACACGCACATTTTTCATAAATGTAAGAATGAAAAGCTCCTTTGTGACATCAGAATTCCACAGTGTAGTACATACTCAATATGCACATGAAATATGTGAAGACATATAAACATTTTTATAGGCAAGTGACATTGAACAGATCAATTCATGGAGCACATGCTACATTCATTCCAACCAAGGTGTTTCTTGAAAAAACTTGGCAAACAGTTTTGCACTTGTACATGTACTGTTATTCAATAACTCTTTATTAAAATTTTTATATTGCTTTTTGCCTTGAATAATGGAAAAGCACAATCTTTGGAATTATACATTTCTGCAGAATAACCTGATTGTTTTTCCAGGAACAGGTTTTGGGTTTAATGTCATGCCTAGGGCATTTTGTCAGAGTTGGTAAGAGCCAGATAAGTTGCAAAGAAAACTCCCGCACACTGTCTAACTTGCAAAAAATATATATGTATTTACCAAGAGCCAGATAAGTGAAATTCACTAACTTATTGCTGTAATATTCCCCAATATTCCTCTAAAAACTTTCTATTCATTATCCTCTTTACGTCCAAGCCAACTACCCAAACAACTTTGATACCTCTCTGCCTTGATTTATATAGCTTATCCTTACATATACTGCAACCAGCTAAATGATTGATCCTGATTGTAAATATCATCACTGTTTTGTGTCTCTTCAGTGTACATGAAGCAGGAAGCTGGGCAAGAATACAAAGGGAGATCCAGGCCTCGCTCAGTTAAGCTTTCATTTACTGGCTTTCTAGCCCTCATTGGCCGAATGCTCTTCTACAAGCCTATTTGGACTAAGGAGAACCAGCAGCACCAGAACATCAGGTTCATTTCTGTGCATTTTAGTGCCTGGCATTTTGCAGGCAGTGACCTGCTTTGGGCCGGGCTAGCTATAAGGCTGTTTCAGGCCATGCAGATAAACTTTGGGAAATTACAGCTTGTACTTTACCGTGTGGCTCAATACGATGAAGATGACGAAATCAAGAAGAAGGTTTGTGAATTCCCTAACTTTTCTCAGTTATTAAACAGAGTCTAGTGAGAGAGAGCTAAATGCATGCATGAAGATAAGTGTTGTATCCCATCTATGTTTTTACATTTCGTAGAAAATAGTTCCCAGTGAAAACTGGTGACAGCAAGGTGTATTGGGTTTCTGCCAAAGCACATCACCGTTGAGTTGCACAAATATAAACTGTTGATGCTTTGAACATCAGAAATTAAATGCCCTTCACTGTCATTGTACTGGAATGGCAGCTCAAGTCTCAGTAGCGGAAATGTCAAAACCTTAGTCGATATAGAAATATGTATTGGAGAAAGGGACATTTTGATATGATGATGGCGCTAGATGAAAAGTTAGGGGTTTTACCAAGTAATTACAATATTTCATTTGACAACCATGGAATGTCTGCAAAAAAATGTATGGTGGACCAACCGATAAACTGACATGCTGCTAGAGTGGCTAAAAACACGGCAGTGGGGTCTAACTCACTTCTTGTTTGTTCTTTGTTTTGTTTTTATAAAACATTTCAGAAAGTGGAGGATGGTCCTAACAACTGGAGGTCCAAAAAGGTTTGCTGCTGTCCTCTGTGGTTTCTCGTCCTGTCCATTCTTTTGGTTCCAATTATCATCCTGGTATTATTGTTGACTGTTGGCTTTCCCGAATATGAGATGCAACCAGGCGAGGGGGTGAATGGAACACAAGGCCAGGTGGGCGTGCTGGAGAGCCTCGCCATCGCTTCTTTAGGAGTCCCTGCAGTAAGCGTGTTGAGGTTTGTTTTTCTGATGTGTAAGAACTTCATCTTCAACCAGGATCTGAACATCAAGAAGGGGATGGACAATGACCGGGTCAGCAGCCAGCTGGGCTTCATGAACGAAGTGAGGAAGGAAATGTGGTTTCTGTCTCGCTTCATCCAGTTTATGGAGGTGTTTGAGAGGAGAAGGATCCGAGTGTTACTGAAGATCACAAACCTGGATCGGTGCTCCCCCAAGAATATTGTTGCAGTTCTGGATGCCATCAACATTCTGCTTTCAGATGAGGAAAGTCCGTTTATTTCCATTTTGGCCGTCAACCCCGATGTACTTATACAGAAAGTGAACTTTGCAGATAGCTGCTTCAGCAAAGAGGACAGAGCTTATGCACTGCTGAACTGCATCGTGACTCTGGTCTTCACGGTCCCACCACTGTGCGATGATTCAAAGCGCAGTTTATTTTACAGCCTCACTAGCAATTCAAAAATCCCTGCGGACAGAAGCATGAGGGAAGATAAACATAGAAGTGGGGGCCACAAAAAGAGATATTCCTCAGATGTATCTGTAGAGATTGCATTGGAAATGAAAGAGTCAAAACTGCTTTTGAATGAAACTACAGCAGATGAGGAAGTAGAGACGTTGGTCAACAACGTCCTGACCAGCAATCAAAGGAATCTGAACAAGTATATGTTAGATGATGCCATGTCTATGAGGAGAGTGATCAACTCTATTCGAGTGACTGTGATCATCATGATGGCCTTGAAGAAAGAGATTCCTCAACCAGAATACATTGCAGCATGGGTGGTCTTGGCCAATCAGTGGCCCTGTCGCCTCAGCTGGATCATCCAGTGTGCAGAAGATGCTCAGCAGAGAGCAGGTATTGATCATACAAATGTGGCCAACATTGATGATTCAAAGACCTTATGGCAAGTCTACAGTGAGTCCAGGGCAGAGCTGTATGTGATGAGTGCACAGATTGAGGACCTCCTTGAGCAGGATGGAGATCCTGAGATGTTTGAAAGATTTCTCACAGTGGATTTCCAATTCAAGATAAAGGACTTGAAGGCATTTGAAGCAGCAACTGTGAACCTGAATCCTTCAATTAGGAAGGAGCTTGCTCAGATCAGAGGGACATCCAGGCTGAAAGATTCTGGTTGGATGAGGAACCTAGCTCCCCTACCAATCAGAACTATCATCAATATGGATACAGAGGATGTTTGTAAAGAGGTAAACTTCTTCTTTAAAGAAATCTTTCTCTCCTGGTTGATTTGGCAACATGTGGTTGCTGGTGGTAACAGCAAGTGTGGTGTACTACCACAGCAAACACTTCATGAGCCAACAATTCACATTTTTCCATCATGCCATGAGCAACTACAATCTGAGGAATGTAGCGGTGTTTAACTTATTTTATTGATAGTTATTCTAGGTAATTTTCCACCTTGTTTTAGTGTTTATTCCCTACTTGAATCTGCTCTCCCTCTCCCTGTATTAGTCTGTGGCTATAATATTGCGGTCTGAACCGAACTGTGGATTTGGTGAATCGTTACACCCCTCGTGCTGAGCAGAAATACTATCAAAAATAGTCTTATTTCATGTAAATCTTTCAGATTATCTATATCAATATAAATTTTATTTATAAAGCACACTTAAAACAACTAAAGTTGACCAAGGTGCTTTACATGTTAAAAATACAACAACACAACAGTAATTACAAAGTAAAAGTACAGCAATAAAACATTAATTAGAATATACAGTATATGATATGTAATGATATTAAAATCGCTAAGGACAATAAATGCCTTAGAAAAGTGATTTAAAGCATTTGAGAGTTGGGGCGGTTCTGATAATGACTGGCAGGTTGTTCCACAGGTTAGGGGCAGCTCTACCAAAGGTTTGATCACCTCTAGTTTTGAGTCTGCTTCTGGGTACATCCAGGAGGAGGAGAATGGCAGATCTTACCACTATAGCAGGAGTGGGAACTGTTTATCAAATTTAAACACACCGTCCAATAAGTCACCAAGACTCCTCACAATCGAGCAATTATTTGAAGCTAATGGGCAAAGAGTACCTCCTTCAAGCAATTCAGGATGTCCAAGCACTATAACTTCGGTCTTGTCTCCGTTTAGGTTGAGGAAGTTAAGGTTCATCCATGTTTTGATGACCTTTGGATAGTAAAGCAGGGGCTGCAGTGAGCCCTTTGTTTTTAACCGCAGGGGCAAATAAATGTGTATATCGTCTACAAAACAGTGGAAAGAGACCTCATATTTCTCAAGAATGGAGGCCAGGGCAGAGTATATAAAGAAAATAGTATAGGGCCCATGACAAGTAAAAGGGGCTGTCTCAGAAAAATAATCACCAAGGTGGACAGAGAAACTCCTATCTCTTAGGTAGGATCGAAACCACCAACCACCAAGTGCAGTACCTTTAACTCCTATTATGTAATAGTTATTTATTATTTATGAATGTACCTCTGTTACAAAGCAATACTTATTCAAATTGAATTATTATAAAATAATAAAATGTGTGTTTATTTACCCCTCACGACTGTGCAAATCAAACTGGATTAGGAACTTACTCTTATTATTCCTCTGTGTTTATGATGTTCACTTTTTCTTCTTTTTCCTAGTTGGAGAGGATGAACTACTCCAATAAGTACATTGAAACTGTGAAAAGCAATGACCTCAATGGTTCGGCACTGGTTTTTGGTGAAGCAGAAGACCTTAAAAAACTCCTAAAAATGACCTTCGGTGAATGGGCACGTTTCAGACTGCACTTCTTGGGTTTATCATCACATCTCCGACAACAATACAAGTACATGCCGCCGACAGCTTATCAACCTCAGAACCAGCCATCTAGATTTACCCTACATGGTCCCCATCATTACTCATCTAATCTCAGTGGTTAACAGCTGCATGTAGGCATCCAATCCTTTCCCAGTAAGCCTGATGTCCATAAAATTATGATCTGCAAGTGTAACATATATTATCAATTTTACAGTAAAAATGAATAACCTGTGCATAAAAAATCACATACAGATTGCAATGTATGACTACAATTTTTATGCAAAATGCGTTTACTAGTGTTACTGATAAATTATTAAATAAATAGTTCAACATTTTGGGAAATGAAAATCTTGGCAAAAACACCGCTTAGAAAAATGTTTAATCTCTTATAACTGTCAAATAACTATCACGTCCTGTTAATTTAAGAGGGACAACCCCGACAATGATAGCTGTGGTGTTACCTAGATGTCTAATTGTGTATCAAAAAACCTTGATTGTACATTGTCGTGATTATATTTTCCTATAAAAGAACATTTTCACAGCAGACATTTCAACATGTCCCAGTTATGATGGATGAATTTCATTTAGCTGTTTCAGTTTTAGGATCCTGGTAATGTGAATGCTGGCTCACTGTCATGGCTTTGCTGGTACACTTACTCACACTAGAATGGAGCCATTGTTAACTATTGTTGCTAACACCTATGCTTTTCCGTAATGATAAGTCAGTGTCTGCTGTGAAAAAAAGGTCTATTATGAGACAGTGTTGTTGTTTTTTGTGTCAATGTGTAATAGAAGGAAAGGTAGGAAATAGAAAAGGACCAGGAATGTAAAAAGTTGTGAAATGTTAGCTATAGAAAACATACAAACTATTGTTTTAAAAGTAATTTTCAGTACTATAAAATACATAATTGGATATTACATTGCACTTTTTGTAGGAAATTATGAAGCTCCAGTGTCTTTCACTCTCTCTTAGCCACTATCACAGTGACGAGATATTTATCAAAATGATTATCTATATTGTTCCATCAATGACTGCGGCTGTAATTCACTGTGAGGGTTAACAGGAAACTTCTTTATGCACAAAATTGTAACTTGATTGTAGGCTTTACTTATATATTATTTGTTGTTACTCTGGTTGCACTTTTTTATTTTGTATGGACTTGTTATGTGACTTTATTCTGGAATCAGTGAATGTTTATAATGAGTGTGTGATGTGCCTATGCTATACATCATGGATGCATGCTACAAATTTAAAAAGAGAATCAGAGAATATTAATTGAATCATATATTATAGATCTCAAACAGGTATTAACAAAGTAAATTTGGTATTTAATCGACAGAAATTCACTGTGTGAGTTTAGGGATACTTTATTGATCATTAAGCAGAACATTTGCTGCAGTAAAGCATAATTCTCCATTTCATGCAAATCAATAAAATGTAAACTCTGGCAAATGAAATGTATATGCAAATGTCCCATTAAAAAAATAAAATGTTCATTCAAGCAAATAAATAAAATGTGTTGTGTGGTACTTTACTAGTTTGCAAACAGCCCAAGCAATGTGCTGACTCATTAATGATATTTTAACATCAAAGTGTTCTCATGTTAAATAAGGTTCATTTCATCTGTATTCCTTTGAACGTTAATTTGGCTAAAAATATAACACTAACAATCCCCAGGCATTTACAGTACAAGCAATACCATTACACTACCGCACATACCAAAAGCATACAGTACATAGTGAAGGTCTTAACACCAACAGGAGATTTTAACAGACAGACTCTGACTTTGTAGTTGTTCTAATAATAGTAGCGCCCTCTGATCTTTCAGTGTTCAATCACGTTTACTGTTCAAACACTGGGCCAATTGGACTAATCAACAGTCACGGAGAAATTCTCTGAATAAAATATTCCCCTGTGGTATATTTTTGAGCCAGGCTGATAGAAAAGTGACAGAACGAGGCAGTAGAAATTAAAAGTTCAAGAGTTTAAACTCGCCACTTGAAATGTTTAAGCAATATCTCACAACAGGCCGTGGTATACGCTTCTTATATCACAGTTAAGGGGCGTTGTTCGGCCCGAAACGATGCAGAATAAACATGTCATGGGTGGATTCATTATTATGTTTTCATGTTAGCAAGAACAAGAGACATCATTACAAATCAAAGATCACAGTGTTTGCTTTACAAGTTATAAAAGCTCAAAAGGAGGGAAGTCAAGTAAAATTCTGCTTCTAGTAGATACTTTGTCTGAATAAGCTTTACTAAGGCATAACTGTATGAAAGTTACATTTTGACCATTATTTGCATATTAAGACACATACTTCATATAATCAAGGCACATGTGTGGAATTATTTTGAATTACACACAACAATATTTTCAAATTCAAGACAGTTTTAGATATAGCAGTTTGCAAATATGTTCATGGTAAAGTCATAATAAAAATGTTGTCTAGGACAAAATAACAAATTTGGACAATTTAGGAATGTATTTAAAAAAGAAACATTTGCTTAAAAAACAGCAAGACATCTTCTAACAGGCACCATTACTATAACACCACAGTGATATATTTTTATAATTTTTAAATAGATCCCAGATTTAAATTACCGGTATAATGCTGGGTCCTAATGCAGCAGTTCTCCTTTCCTGTATTTTACCATCACAGACACAGCAGGAATACATCCAGGCTGTTTGGTCGGAAGCAGCTCACTTGCGTCCCAAGGACTCAGCCAGCTTCTTGAGCCTTTTCTTCAGCTCCAGAGGAAACTTTTCATAACACTTTTTACAAACAGGCTTCATGTCAAACTCAACAAACTTGTTCCTGCAAAGAGGGAAAGATGTCATGTCAATACTAAATGTGTGATCCAATGATTTGTCTTTTGTCCACATTATTAACCTTTCAGATTTCTCTCTGACATGCAGATTTCTTGTCTAAATATTATTAGCACTGCAGGTTAAAATGTACTTAAAGTCACTCTCTCATTATTTAAAATTATATTAGTATTAGGATCATACTTTAAAGGAGATAACACCCATCTTCTGCTCAGGAAGTATCATGCAAATTAACCAGCTGCTTTTCCCTTTGGTGCAAGCAATGATTAATCTCATTCAAACCAAAAAACTTCAGTCTTGAAGGAAACTCAAGTTTGTTATAGGTAGCGCTGAAGTTATTAAATTTGAGAGCTCGTACAGCATTTACAAAACAAAAACACTGCAAAGGGAAACAGAGTCTGACAGAACACAATGCAAAACAACTGAAGTTTCTTGGGGAAACTAACAAGAGATAATCAACACTCCTGGGACATGTTATTTGTTACCATGGTTTGTGGCTCATGAAGTCACTGAATTTGATTAAACGTCAATAGTGATTGAAAATATGTTTTTTTTTCTTTTAACATTCTGCTTGCATGATTGAGATGCGTGTGGTTAATCTAGTATTAGCCTTTTACTGACTGCTAACTTATTAATTCAGTTTAACCCAAAAAAATGTTTTTTAAAACTAATTTCCGTTGTGTTCTGTGTGACTTGCAGCATTTCTGTATTTGATTACATTTCCTGTATTTGCAACGCTTTGTGTTTTCAATGAACGAGAGCATATGTTGTCAAAATAATGAAGATGTTTTTTTCCCCATTTTGGTGCTGAGCCATTAGGGCCAGCGTACAAAAATGTGCTTGTTTGCGCTCCTTCAATGTGAGGATTTTCTGTTTGAATGTCTTTGGGTTTCAGACTGTTGATTGAACAAGACATTTGAAGATGTCACCTTGGACTCCATTTTCAGATTAAATCAATAATGAAAATAATTGTTTGGTGCAGCCTATGCTTATAAGCATCAACTGAGCCAAACTTATGTTAAAGATGCATGTATGCTATAATGTTTTGCACAGATGCCATTACCACAAGACAATTATGGGGTTGAATTTAATAAGTTAGAAATAATGACATGCCATACTCTTTACAGTATGGCATGTATTATAAGTTATTATAAGTTATATAAGTATTGTTTACTCAGTAGACTTTACTCTACTGAGTAAACAAGGAATACCACAGAAAAAGAGGAAGACAGATATTGCACAAACCAACAGATGGAGTGGTGAGTTGTAAAGAATATTAACTACAGACAGACAGCAGCTTTTTTCTTGCGGTCTTTGGCATCACGCTCACGTCGGGCCAGGCGGCGTTTCAGCTCCTCAGGCATGCGTTCATAGCAGTGCTTGCACACTGGCCTCAGGTCAATTTCAACAAACTTATCTCTGAGTTACCATAGACGCAGCAAGTGAAGCATGTTAAGAGGAGAAATTGGAGGAAAAGGAAAGAGCCAAAGAGGGAAGAGTTGTAGCAGGAGAAAGATAAGACACAAAGACAAGTGTTAAGACTACCACTAAAGCAGGGGTTAAGTAGGAAAACTAGAGAGGAAAACATCAGCTGGTAGTATTGTACATGATTAACTAGCAAAATAAGCTACTAATGAGCAACATAACTTACTTCAGAGTGAGTTTTGTGTTGCAGGTGGAGCACGAGAAACAGCTGACACACCAAGCCTTGTTGAGAGCAGACACCACTGAGGAAAATATAAACATTCAACTGTTGTTTCTTCAAGCAACATTTTATGTAAATTACTAAAAACACTGTACTGAATGTGAGCTTTTTTTTTTTTTTTTCTTTTAATACTGATACTCACCATCGCCTTCAATCACACGGTTGCAGTGATAGCACACATCGCCGAAGAGCTTGGTAACAGGCAAACAAGGAGATTGGGTGTTTATACAGCAAACGCAAATTCATTTATTTGGTGAAGCAATGAAAGGTTAGCATTAGCTGTGTAATTTCATTGACACTCTACTGACATTAGAATGTCTTTCATGTTTTCCAAAGTCCTTGTTTGGCTTGGCTCTTTTTCTTACCTGGTTATAATGAGTCTCACAGTAAGCCAATCCCTTCCTCTCGTAATGGCGATGACCAAGGAAAGGCTTCTCACACTTGGCACACACAAAATGCTGTAAAAAAAATTTTAAAAAATAAACTTGCTGAGGGACAGGGAGTTTGAGGGATAGGGGGAAAAATCCTAATGAAGGCAAGTGACTGGAGGAGCAGGTACCAACACACAGATAGGGTGCAGATTTTATTTTCTAGAAGTCTGATACATTAATACCACAAGAGAATTACATGAATATGTTTAGTTAAGATAATCCTCTATTGATTTATTTAATATTTACTTACCTAGAATTTGTTTTAAGTTAAAGACTTCACCTATGAAGAAATGTTACTATAGTAATCCAGTGATGTTTTTGTTTTTAAATCACATTGAGGCCATCTGTGATATAAAGAAACCACTGCAGTGTTTCTGTAGAGCTCCCACTGTGTTTTTAAAATTGTTCTACTTTTCTGGTGCCTGCCAGATAACACTGAAGTGGTTAGATACAACATTCATTGCACCTAATGGCTCTTTAGCATTAAATTGACTGCTATACACTCTTGATAGTCTTGAGCATTTTGAACATTGTGAGATTCAGCAGCCTCCAGACAGATGAACACACAACTTCATCTGCTGCGCTCTGCCTCAGGAGAAACAATATTTTTTTTTAAAAGGCTCACATCTCTGCTACTTCTTCAAATGAGCTCATTAACAGTGTTTTGGTTCTAAATTGGTTTATTATACATGAATTAAATTTTCCTATGCATAAGTAATAGTAACTAAATTTAAAACTAATTACAGTCTTTTATTCTGCTTCTGTGTGAAGGCATATAAAAAGGTGATCAGCATGACATTTGTCCACTATTATTAACCTGTCAGTAGCCTTTCCAAAGCAATACTCTCTGTAGTCCAACTTGCAATATGCAGAGGAACTTTTAAAGAAACGCAGCAAGTTTTGCCTCAGAACAACAAACGCCAACATGTTTTACTTTTCTTTGAAATTACAGAAATGTAACATTGTATCTAGCGTATTGATAAATAGTCTGATTCTAGTTCACAAACCTCTACATGCCACTGCTTGCCCATGGCATTTACAACACGCCCCTCGATGGGTCTCCTACAGGCTCCACAGATCGGTACACCCATCTTGTCATGGCAGGGCAAACAGAAGAGCTCTCCCTTCAGTTCCCTGGCTTCAGCTGTCAATTCCTTCCTGTGGACAGAGAAACACTTTAAAGAGAGAGAAACACAGGCTTTGAACACATATAGATCATTTTTCATCTGGACCTGAAACACGTGCTGTTTTCTGTACTAAACAGCCGGGTGGAGTGGTAAGACTGACCCACAATTGCTGCAGTTGAAGTGGTCTGGGTGATAGGGGTCATTCTTAAAGATCAGTGGCTGCTCTTCAATGATGGCATGGCACTTCTGACAGATGTACTTGCCCAGGCCACGAGCTTTCTCGCGGTTATGGCATGGGCGACACAGGTGCCTGAGGTAAATGGAGGAGAACAAAATGTAAGGTGTCAAGAAAGAATCTGCAGCCTCGAATAATGTTTTGACATACTCTGTCACAGCTGCTCAAAATTACATTGTTTGTTAGAACGCAAAAGTCAGCCAGCTTGACGTGTGTGTAACCACCTGCTTTACAAGCTGTCAGTGTTATATTAAGACTCTAATAAGATGGGATACTTACCTGCCAGCATTTTTGACAAACCCCACGTCTGCAAGCACAGCCTGGCAAATGTCACAGCAGAAGCAGTCAGGGTGCCAACTATTGTTCATGGCCTTAATGACACGACCAATGATGAACTCCCCTGAGGGAAACCACAAGTGAGAGATCAGCTTGAGGCAAGTTTAACTTTTGTTTGTTGGGACTATATGCTATTTTGGGGTACTGTACAGTAGTTATGAATAACTACTCCATTATGGACTCCTAGTGTTCTCGAAGAGGCCAGTTACACCTGGCATTAAAATGTGTCTCTTATTATTTATTATTAATGTGCGTCTCCAGTGTCCACACTGAGAGCCGACCGCATTGTCCAGCTCAAACAACTGCACGTCACATCCTCCTCTCGTTTGCGCAGGTCCAAAAAATGCTCTGTAACTATTGACTGTATAATAACTTTCTCAACAGTCTCTTTTCACCATGATTCGTTTTCCTCTCTCTTCAACGGTGCGGCAGCGTAATGGCTCAGCTGGAAAGCGAAACTTAAGTTCCGCCTACCCTCATTTTCTTGCTCTGACACTGTAATGTTGAATGCATTTTCATTGACACTGAACAAAATTATAAACAACACTTGTGTTTTGTGCCCCCGTTTATCATGAGCTGAACTCAAAGATTAAAGACTTCTATCTATGTACACAAAAGGCCTAATTCTCTCAAATATTGTTTACAAATCTGTCAAAATCTGTGTTAGTGAGCACTTCTCCTTTGCCGAGATAATCCATCCACCTCACAGGTGTGGCATATAAAGATGCTGATCAGACAGCATGGGTATTGCACAGGTGTGCCTTAGGCTGGCCACAATAAAAGGCCACTCAAAAAAAGTGCAGTTTCACTGCATTTTTCACTGGGTTTGGGGGTGTCCAGAAACCAGTCAGTATCTGGTGTGACCACCATTTGCCTCACGCAGTGCAACACGTTTCCTTCACATACAGTTGATCAGGTTGTTGATTGTGGCCTGTGTTGATCCACTCCTCTTCAATGGCTATGCAAAGTTGCAGTCAGGTCGAGACCCCGATGAGGATGACGTGCAAAGCAGATGAGCTTCCCTAAGATGATTTCTGATGTTTGTGCAGAAATTCTTTGGTTATGCAAACCGATTGTTGCAGCAGCTGTCTGAGATGCTGGTCTCAGACGATCTTGAAGATGAAGATGCTAGATGTGGAGGTCCTGGGCTGGTGTGGTTACACGTGGTCTGCGGTTGTGAGGGCGGTTGGATGTACTGAAAAATTCTCTGAAACACCCTTGGAGACGGCTTATGGTAGAGAAATGAACATTCAATTCATGGGCAACAACTCCAGTGGACATTCCTGCAGTCAGCATGCCAATTGCACGCTCCCTCAAAAGTTGTGACATCTGTGGCTTTGTGCGTTCGAGTGGCCTTTTATTGTGGCCAGCCTAAGGCACACCTGTGCAATAACCATGCTGTCTGATCAGCATCTTGATATGCCACACCTGTGAGGTGGATGGATTATCTTGGCAAAGGAGAAGTGCTCACTAACACAGATTTTGACAGATCTGTGAATAATATTTGAGAGAAATAGGCCTTTTGTGCAAATAGAGAAAGTCTTAGATCTTTGAGTTCAGCTCATGATGAATGGGGTCAAAAACAAAAGTGTTGCGTTTATAATTTTGTTCAGTGTAATTAGAGCATGTCTGTCTCTCTCTGAGACAGTCAAGCAGTTTTTAAATTAAGCTTAAGTAGCACTAAAATGTATCATGGGTGATCTAAACACAAGTGGGAAGATAAATAAAAGCATGACTATACTTTAAGATCAGTGGGGACATATTGCGATCTGAGTACTCAATAAACATAGAAGTCAGGGATGCTTACATCCAAATATGTACAGCGGTGCAGTTGTTCCCAAATTTGTGAGAGGTCTGTCAAAACAGTCTGAAGATTCTCAGTTATCCAGGTCATAGTTATCCAAGCATATATAATCACTTGTAGCACACATGAGATGCATTCTGGTACCAGGTCTAAAATGCATTCCATCTCAATTTGATCTATACATAGTCTGAATATATCTAAATACAAGATACTTCATTCTTTATTTGGGTACCCATTAGCTTACACAAAGTGGTTGCTGGTCTTTCTGGGGTACAACCCCATAAATACTAGATCTGGAGAGGCAGTAAATGAATGAGCCCATATAACACTCACCACACTGGTGACAGCAAGGGGCAAACAGCATCTGAAAGTCATGTTCACAATATTTTCTTCCTTCAAACTGTGAAGAGAAGAAGATTGAGATTAAAGGAGTACCACAGAAATCATCACCCAACAAGCAGTGTAGAAAGTATGTCACTGTGTAGATTTGTGAAATTAATTACTGGCTATTTGAGCGCAATACCTCGTAGAAGAGTCCCTCTGGAAACTGCTGGAAACACTGGGCACACACAAAGCACTGCTCATGGTACAGCTCTCCATTACTATTGACAATCTTTTCAGTTGCGGCAAAGCCACTCTTACATCTCTCACAGGCCGCAGTGGCCAGGGCATTAGCAATGCTGTTGCATGAGACAAGAATATATATATTAGTACATAACTTCCCCAGAGTCCCTGTGAAGGGCTGACAAATGTTTACCATTTCTCACATATCTCCTACTTTAACTGCTGTGCATGTTTCAGCAGCTGTCACCATGGAGAATGGAAATAATGTGAATCATTTTGGGGGGGTGGGGGGACTCACTAACTCACCGCAGAGCCATCACCTAATTTGGTAAAGGAATAGAAGTACTGAAACCTAGCTGAGAGATGATGTACAGAATCTATGCCTCAACCCTCCGTCAGTAGTCTAGTCTAAGGGTAATGTTGACTGAGGCCTCGTATAGAAAATAAACATGTTAAAATTAAGTTGCAAACTTAAAACTTACCTAAGCCAGCCAAACATGATGTTAGATTAATGTTAGTTTATCATTTTTCACCAGCAACGTAAATGGCACGTCATGCATTCATTTAGTTGCTCTCTTTAACTAACTCCATTAGTTAATAACGTTCAGGGGCGGTGCTACTAATAATTCGCATAATTTAGCGTTAATTTAAGGAAATGTGGCGAGTTACAAAGCTAGTTAGCATGCTAACCTTACAGTTAGCTCCAATAGAGGAAGAACACCGTTATTTCCTTAACGTTAAATTAGTTAACTTGCTATAACATATCAACGGTTAATCAACTGTTAAACAGTTGCCCCGGACCAAAATACGTATTGATAATAATATTTTTGCTGGAGCCTTAAAAAGGATGCATCTTTACTACCGTAGCGGTTTGCTAACTTTGCCCCAATGCTGGCCATTTACTATGACGTTAGCTTTAGCTTGCTGGCCGAAGTTTAACTGCTGGTCGGTTGTATATGTTTATTAATATTTAACCAAGTTAATGAAGATCTTACCTGCCCGTCATTCCAGCAACCCCCAGCATCACCTCTTAGCACGACAGATTTCGAAACCTACAGCCAATAAATTCGCTGAGCTACCAAAGCTCTCAGGGGACGCAGAGTAGTCTTCCGCCGTGTGGTCCCCTATAACTTCAGTCTGTGGTCGTCCCCTCCCAGCTGAGCTGTTCCGCGCATGAGCTGGCAGCGGGTTCAGGACACCGACTTCAGGGGAGTGTCCGTGCAAGTTTAATATTTCAACAACTTTCTAAATCTGCTACACCAGACTGCCCTTGACTGGTCTAGTTTTTTATCATCATACTGGATTAAAAGTCCCATAGAACAATCTGATATATGAGCGTATATGAAAAATGCATGGATAATGTAACTTAGCCTGTTTGTGAATATAATGTATGTCAGTTATCCAAAACAAAATATACGTACTGTGCTACCACACAAAATATGTGGTATGGATTCACCCAGCCTGCTGATGGATTTACGGACTATGAGGAGACAAGTATCCCACTGATATGTGCATTTAAAACTACATTATTGTATTTATATTTTGGATTAAATAAAGTTGACCATGATTAATTTTAATCCTTACTTTTCGAGTAAACACTACAACTTCATAATAAAAGAAAGCACATAGATCATAATATAATTTCATTTTCAAATATTCTGCAAAACAAACTGTAGCCTATATACAGTATATATGGCCATTCATTTCATAATAGTATCACATATTAGATGCATATTTTTATGTTGAATTTATGGGTATATGGGTTTATCCATATGTACAAAACAAATGTTTTTGCTGTTAGCACATACAGATATTAGATTAAAATATATGTCCATATCTGTAAACATATATAACCCATTATCAGTATATACCCTGTATGTTTATGTATAACCATATATCAGATTTTCATATGCAGTGGATGTCAGTTAAACATACAATTTTTGCCACCAATTAGTTTTGTGCTGTCCTGAGAAGCCTATTCTAGTTAAGTAATTATCTGACATATTGCATCACACAGATGCAACATTCATCATTCATGAATAGATGGAACATTCCTGTGAATCCAATATCCTGCAGGGAGATAATAGTCAAGCATGGACTATGTAGTGTGTGCCACCACAGTCAAGAGGTCTAATTTATCAAACCAAGGGAAAACAAGGGGAAACAGCTGTGTGGGGGTGTGTAGGTGATGTAAATAAAACCTTGTTATTGCTAGAGTATAAGTCTCTTTTCCCATGTTGCATCTCAACCACTAGCTTTCACTGACAAAGCCACCATATTCACACCCTCTCCTTCCAAGTGTCCATGATTTAATAAGTACCCTTTAGGTGTGATATTCCAACAGCACGGCTAATGATTTCAGTGTTCAGTTTGATTTCAGTCTGACTGCTGACTTCAAATTAACACACACATATAAAGAGTTGAGACAACTGAATGACTATTTTGACAACAAGTAAAGACAGGGATGTTCCTGTGAGTGTTTCTACATACAAGGCTTTAAGACCTGAGTGCTGTCTGACAATCTCACCAACAAGTTTCCTGTTTAAGAAATATCACTGATTGTCCTTTTAAATCCTAAAATTTAGACCTGTCCTCTCTTGCGTGTGCGTGTTTTTATGTCCTCATGTTTACTATTGTTTATATACCTTCTTCGAAAGCACTCTGCTTGGAGGTAAGTACAGCACAAATAACGTTTGTTTGTACCGTATTACACTCTATTCCTTTTCTCTGTAATGAACCAATTCTCTCACAGGGATGAAGCTTAATCTGTTAGATTAAGCTTCAACAGTATATTTATATACTTCAAACAATCTAACCTTTACATGGTGAAATAGAATATGTACAGACACAAGATATTTTGTGTTTGACTCATAAAATGTTCTCTGTGACCCATTAAGATTTAGAGGATAGAAGATAAGAGCGCTGCAGGAGGCACACGAAAGAGTTATAGAGTAAAATAAAGAAATAAATTTCATATATGCCATTTTTGTTGAATCCAGCAACGTCCACTTTCCAGAAAAGCAACATCACTCTCACAGAATCTTGGGAAAAAATCAGATTGTGAATAGGCATTAAATCCTAAATAATCATATGGAAATAATTTCACTTTCAAGGTTTTATAGGTTTGTAATTTGACCGAAGCGTTGTTCACACAATGAAATTATTTGAAGGCAAGTACTCCAACACCGAGTCCAATTCACCACATCTGACAGAGCTTTCATATATGGTATATAATTCAGTCCCTGATCTGAGATTGATCTTTACCATGGAGAAAAGAAAAAAATTATCTGCATTATCTAAAAGTGCTGTACTTAGGTCATGTGATAATTGAGAAAACGTCATCTGCTGATGAAAACTGTGAGATGGGTGTCAGTAAATCAAAAAAACAAAAAAACAATTTTAATCCTCATGTAATTTCTCATGATATAGAAATGTGAAACTGATTGTGACATACTGTAGTAGTTTTGGGTTACTTCACAGCCCTCACCATATGCCCTTTCGAGCTTCACTGTGATCTATTATCTTGATTGTTTTTTAGAGAGTATCCTGTTTATGTGTTGCACACATGGACACCATATCTTGGTATCAGAAACCTGGATTAGCCCTTTTCCCAGTTTATATTCATTCTCTGCCATGCATGCAGATGAATGGTCAACTCAAGTTAGTTACTATTTTACTAGTAAATGCATTACTATACTTTGTGGAGCATCTTACAGACAGGTCTAATTCAGGCAACTCTCGTCAGACATGTCTTGAAAAAAAGAGAAATGTAAAAAACTCTAAAAGTTCAGACATGGAATACATATTCAAGCAGGCATTTTTTAATGTGGCTATGAACTACTTAAATATTACATATCTTTGGGAAAAGTACAAGAGGTTACTTTCCAATAAATCTTCTCAGTACAATGCGGCCTTGTTTAGCTAAAATAAAAACAACACAGTCACTGTTCACTCTATGGAAAACTGCAGCCCTCATTCAGCCTATTCTTTAATATTGCAATAATCATCTATAAGCAACAAATACAAATAAGTTGATATCAACCAGCAGATTTGATTTTATAAATACACAATTAACATATGCACTGTAGGCCAGTAAATTATAAAGTCCATTGCCAGGCCTGGCTGACCTTCAGAAAACTAATAAACTTAAGACAAGGTGGGACCTTAACAGAGAGCTACAACTGAAGTAGTAGTGATTCTTTTTCAATTAACACTGGCAAACAAATAAACCAAAAAGGATGAATATCAACAACGTAAAACAAGTGTCCATCCAACATGACTTACAGGTCTCTTTCATTGCACAGTTCAATGGCGTTATCTTTCAACACATCTTCCAAACTATTACTCTTTCACCTAATTGCACCAAAACAATAGCTAGACATAAATATTTCCCTCTTGCACATTCAATTACATCAACATTCACCTACTACACCATCTTGTCTCCGGGGCTGCACAAGTACCTCACTGAGATGATGTGATTTTCATATTTTGATCAGTTAGATCAGAACAGTTTCCACACCCAAATAAGCACTGGAGTTCCTGGATGATGTAGCCCTTAATGTTTTTAAGCAACAGATAAACATGAAGGACCACCATCAATTGAAGTTGTAAAAAGTGTCCTTGTTGTACACCAGCCAAATGTTTTTGTATGATAGCCTGAAAAACATATTGAAAAAAAGTACACAATTGGTCATAATTGTGCAACCCTGTACAAGCATTTTAATCATTTTGTCCATGTATTAAAATACCTGTCAATCAATTTGACAGTTCCTCACTGGGTGACCCCTTAGTTTGCAGTACATTTATCGGTTTTATAAATGCTAAGCCAGAATATATCTTTGTTAGGTAAACCGTTGACTGTGTAGGAGAATGGTTGTACTGTCAATAATTAAACAAGTTCACCTGCCAATTTAAGTTCTTAGAACCTAAATGCTAAAATGTTTGTTAGAATAGAAAATAACTACCTAAAAAGCGAGCTAACTACCAAGGGTCACTCATAGAAGTGCCAGATCTTCTGACCACTGCCAAAATTGAGCATCATTTGGCTGCAAAATCTGTTTATTTCATGCGCTACTGACAACGCAGCTCATCTTACTAAACGCAAGTCCTTCATTAGAGTAAAAGTGCATCTGTAGGATTCAGTAAATGTACAGATATATGAAGCCCACAATTGAAATGTCTCCTTCCATTTCGTTTGCAATAGACTTTGATATTTACAATTACAATAGGAACATGGGTCAGACAATGCAGAAATACAGCTACTGTACACTACACACAAAAATATGTTTAAACATCACATCAGTCTTTTAGAGGCTATATGTACACACAGTATATACAGACTACGATGATTATGGCCACAGTAAATGAGGAGCAACACCTTCACAAAAAGCCGCTGTAGAAAATGGGAGATGGAACTGTCTTTAGCTTTGTCCATATCAAATCTGAAGACAGAGAAAGACGCAGCTCTATTTATTCCAAATGTGATGCAGTGACTAAGGAACGCATTCAAAGGCAGATAGACGAGACACGATGATAGGAGGCAGGAGCAGATGGCAGATGGATACCAAAATCAAACATAAAATCTACGTATTTAACACATAATCCTCATGAGAGCAGTCTTGTGATCGACCACCCAGTCTATAACAAGCTTCAATTCAGAAACCTTTCATCACAGTTAAGGACGTGACTGTTGGTGACATACTGGTGACCATCCCCATCTAAAGCATGTACTGTGCATTTTACCATCATGTGTCAAGATTATTTTCTAACTACCACACTGCCTGAAGTCAAAGACATTTTGCTTTCAGTGTGATGATGATGATAATCTGTTCAATGTATCGGTATAGTATGTAACTCTCTACTGAAATTAAACTGTAAAATTTCTGATTTCTATCACAAGGTTCACGTTTTTCTTATGCCCATTCATGACATTGCAAAATGTTTATATTGATGGCTGCCCATAATGCGTTAAAGACAGACTGTGTACATGAAATAATCCCCACAATCTCCCATTCATTCCCAATAATTCCCAGACATTCCTGTTAATTCCCATGAAAAAGTGACTCACCCCTGATTACTCCTGAAACTCTACACCTAACATCTACGTGGTGTCTGCCTCTAATGAAAGGGCTAAGGGAACAAAATGTTATAAGTGACAATAAAACAATTTAGATATAAATATACATATACATTTTAAAAAATTGCATACATGGAACGATATGTTACAAGTCATACATTTCACATCATCACATCAAACCGAAAAATAATTTCTTCATGTATCAAGGAAAAAAACAAACATAGAGTAAGGGTCTTTCTTAAAAACAGGAGAAAGATGAGGGAAAAAACGTAGGTCTCCAAATGACACACACACACACACACGCACTCATTCACTCACAAAAACCTCGACACAACTTAAATCTTCTCCCGGAGCTCTACCAGGTAGGCATCATGTCTGGGAACCAGACGCGACCTAAATGCTTTGACACCTCCCAGTGGATATCATCCAGCCCATAGCGGTGATCTGGAACCAGTACCTCCTCCATGATGGATAGCTGCGTCAGTCTGTCTCCACACATCTTCACAAACTCCACGAAGGCGCTGCAGGACACCTCGCACTCTCCCAAGCCGATGGCCGACAGCTGAGTGCAGCGTTGGGCGATGCGAATCAGCTCTTCATCCAGAGGCCGCAGTCCGTTGGCGCACACCACCAGCTCGACCAGACGCGGACAGGTGAGCCCGACGCGGCCCAGCACGTCTTTGCTGACAGAGCGGCCAAAGTACAGATGCGTTACAGGGATTTCATCGCGGAAGAAAGGTCCAAACTCGTCCTCATAGAGGAAGAAGTACATGACCAGATTAAATTTAGGAGAGTGCCGCACCATGGCGTCCCAGCTGCTCTTCTTGATGGTGTGGAACTGTTGGCCGGGATTGTCACTAATCACATCGATGCGAAGGTGCTCGAGGTGAACATGCTTCTCCGAGGAGAGGGCGATGAGAAGTTCATCACTCAGCAAATGGTAGTTGAGAGCCAGTTCTCTCAGGCCGTGGCACTGATCAGCCACACACAGGATGCCTGGGATGGGGAAAAAAAGTAAATTAAAGGAGACTACAGATCTACACGGCCCGAAGAAGGAGGAGCACAGAAAGAGAGAAATTGCCTATATTCCTGTAGCTTTCAGACTTACATTTTATTTTATCATAATATTTAGGAAGAGTGACTTAATGAATTGGTGTGTCGTTACATCTCAATAAAAGAAAACCAAAATATCTTTATTTAAATATCAATGTGCGGTAACATCCTGACTGCCAATAAATGTGCTTTTCCTTTTACTTCCACTGTTCCCTCTCACGTCCAGCTGCTAAAAAACATCATAGTCTCAACCAATATCAAGTCTGTCATTATCAATCGTTAACAGGCCTAATATCTATCATTCCTTCATTTGTCTGTACCTGCAGGTGAAACATGAGGGCAACTGCTCATTTTCAGCAGTTTGAGAGTGTCACTGTTATTGGCCACCAGGACTTTAAGCGAGGGGTCGTCCACAGGTGTGTCATCAATCTTCAGGGAGGACAGGGATTTGGAGTTGACAAAAACCACCGTCAGAGCTGAGATGAAGTGAGACTGACATACAGAGCAGAAGAGAGAAACATTTAGTCAACCTCTTTTCTTTAGTAAACATGGTAACCCTAAATGGTAGCAATTGCCATCTGGTTCCACTGTCCATTTGCATTACCACCCTCTGCAGTTGCCAGACATGTCTATTTGTAAATCGCTTTGGATAAAAGCATCAGTTAAATGAGTAAATGTAATTTAAATGTAATGTCATCATATCACCCTTGTGCACGTGCTTGTAAAGCACAAGACGCAAACAAAACAGAAGCCTGGTTATCAAAACGGCACCACTAGTCATTAAAACTCCAGTGTACCTTAAGATTATAATATGCTTGAATTAAAAAACATACATGCATATGTGCAGCCATACTACTTTGTTTGTGGTTGGTCTTCCAATATTAACTGTCCATTAAAAATAAGCTAAGTGTAATGTGTTTATCTTAAATTAAAGACCCTCACACAGGCATTTGATCATACCAGCTGCGTCTTAGACATTAATCAGAGATCATAGCTTTAAACTGGTGAAGGCTTACCTTGGGCAGCTCCATGAAGCTGGGCCTGGCTGTGGAGATGAGCCCCAATGTTTTCAAAGAACAATTCACGAGCTGAGAGAGGATGTCGCACGCTGCCTCTGCCGACTCTCTGCTGCTGTCCACCTGATCACGACAGAGAGAGAATGAAAACCCAGAGAACTAATATCTCATTTCACCACACCATGGCCGCCCGCCAGTCTAATTTGTTCCGCCATAGTTTCAAAATGAACCGAAAATATTGTTTACACATCTCATAATAACATTACAGACCTCTAACGTTGTGTTTTGTGGGAGCTGCTGTACGCAGCTCGAGACGCCTACTTTTCTTTTTAGGTAACTACGGTAACGTTAATAGTCTGTTTCTGTCACTCGTTTGAGAAGGTGATCAAGCTAGCCGCACCTAAATTTGGAGTGCACACATATTAAAGCCTTTATGGTAAACTGAAACTGTTACACGATACGAGAACCACATACAATATAATTTATCAAAGTGGGTCGAACTTGATGAATTTAGCGCATGAATACACATGTGACAATGTCCGATTTTCAAAATAAGGTGTCTATACAGTACGGAAATATGATTAATTGAATTAGATTCACATAAAGTATACAACTTATTACATGTCCATTAAAAGTAAAAAAAAACACACTATAATAAAATGTTAGGGAAATTGCATATTCAATTTTCTATTCTTTGATTTAGGGTTGGTGGAAAAACATTAAATAAAATTTGTTGACTTTTGTTGCAGTTTCATCACCGTTTATAATCATAATGGGTTTTTAATCAAATAGTTAACTAGAGCACAACATTGTTTACAAGAGTGCAAAGTTCTTCATAGATAGCCTCTTAATTTTGCACCAAATTAATACATTTTACTTTAAAATGATCAAAATGATCTTCCAGGGGGCATGCCGCTGCACCCCCGAGACGGCCCACTCACCACAATCTCTTAAAATCCTGTGGGAAACACTGTACCCTGACCACAAAAGTTCATACCTTGAAGCTGACATACTGCAGGTGGTTGGCGTGCCTTTTGATTATCTGTTTAATGAGGTCTGGGTGTGTGGCCTTCAGGTAGGAGCTGGCTGGCTGGTTCAATTCGAACTCAAAGCACCGCCACAGCTCAGGCATGTGAAAAGCCTGGTTCCATCCCCGGCATACCTGCAGTGACACCAATAAAATCTAAATCTGATTTAAGTCTGTCTCTCTCAAATGTATTCCGTATTTGGTTAGATTCAGTCAGTAGTTTTTCAAAACTGGCTTTCATGCAAGTGATGCAAGTCAGACCTGCTCCTGCCGCCCCACAGGCATGATGCAAGTCACAGGTGGAGAGCAGTACAGAAATTTGATTAGATTTAGTTCAGAAAGAGCAGTTTGGAGAAATAATTTTGGCATATTTCATGATTTTGCAAAGTCCCACCTAACTTTTGATCACGAGATTCCATTATATGTGCAAAGCTGATCTGACTCTAAAATGACATATAACAGTGATGCATCAAGGCTAGGAGCCACCTTATCTAACACTTATGATTAGTGAGTTCATACAAACCACCATCTGACCATTAAGATGGAGGAGAAGTTGCTGGTTAACCACAACAAGAACTGCTTTCTGTGTAGCGACTGTTCATTAAAAGGGTACCTGAGAAGCGTAAGCCCTATCCAGTAGAGGTAGGTACTGGAAAATGTGGAGCAGGATCTCCTGTGGCAGACACTCCCAGCGGACTCCCTCCCCCTCCATATCTTTCTCCCTCCTCTGCTTGCGGGACCGTTTAAGAGTCTCCTGGGGCCCACTGCTGGTGCCACCTCCATCTTCTTGCTCATTCCCTTGAAGACCTCGTTTCATCCTGGGTAAACAAAATCCAGATGGTTGGGCTGAGTTAACTTAATGGGGAGAGAAACTCTTGATTAGCAGTACCATTTATGCATGTTCTCTTCATCACCAGTTGTTGTTATCCCATTTATCCTATTAGTAACAAGCTTGCAGTCAGTTTTTGCCAGGTTGATGCATGCTGACACACATTGAACATATATCAGTGAAATGATTCATCGTTGCAACAATTTTCATAATCAGCTTATCTATTAAATTATTTCGCTAAGCATTTCTTAGCCCATGAAATATTTAAAATAATTAAAGAATTAAATTCACTATCATGTGAAAAAGAGTAAAGCAGCAAATCCTCACATCTGTGATTCTATAACTTAGAAGAATCTTTTTATTTGATAAATTACTTCATGACAATTAACAGATGTTTTTAAATTTAAGACTAATGCATTTTAAAGCTTGACAGGCTTCCCACATGAAAACATCAGTCAGATCAAAGTCAAACAGTGACGGCTGAAACAGGGATTCATTACATATACCATCACAGATTATATTCAGATTGCCCACTCCTTCTACTAACTCTTGGTCAATATTTATTCAGTATGTCTAATAATGTGCCTCACTGTAAATTTAAGTTTTCTGATCTTTTATTATCAGCATTCGCTGTAGTGATATGATGCTGGTATGGTGCAGGGCATGTTTATGACTCGAGATCATGCATGCAAAAATAATACTGTTATATCCCTTTGGGAGATTATTTACTACTGATCTACCTGACACAGTGAGTAACATGCATAAATGTACAAAAGGAACATCTCTCCTATTAAAGGTGTCAATAACCAGATATTGAGAGATTTAGTGTTTTTCCACTGGCTCTGCTTACCTGACAATTAAAAAAATGTAAAGGACACACCTCCCTCCGCCACAACCAACGCCACCATCTGATCATCCTGATATACAATTCATACGCTAAAACTTAGCTTCTGCTTAAAAACTACCTTACAGTTGCGCGTTAATGGCGTTATTGGCGACATTTATTGACAACACGGATGATTACTTTAACGTTACAACACAAATACGTCAAGCTGAACAAGACAACAGTTAACGTTAGCTTAGCCGAACCGAGCGTTGCATCTTTCTGCTGAGTTAACGCAACGTTACATTTGGAAAATAGTGTAGTTAGTTAGTCTATGTTTTAATGAGTTATCCACCCATTCCGCCTCCTACCTGGATTTCACCCCCGTCGGCTGTTTGGCAGAAAAGGCGATCACGTCAACCGGGACCGACACAAGAAAACTGCGTTCTAGCTAGCCAACAAATTAAACACATTGGACCATGGGATTGCACGGTGTGTCGGGAAGTTAGCGAGCACTGACTAAAAGTTCATAAAGCTAATTTTCCAGCCGTATTATCGTTTTCCGAGCGCCTGACCTAGTTTCGCTTCACAACTCTGCTTCAGTAGTTTCCCCGTCAGCCAAAGATGGCGTTTGTGTTGTGTCGAGCAGCGAGTGGGCTGGCCAGCCTGCTGTTGCAGTGAACTGTCGGCAGGGGGAGACATTTCACTCAGCTGCAGGTATTCCCCATAACATTTGATTTAACTCTCAGTTCAGGTTACCTGTGGTGGAGGAAGTACTCAGGTCTTTTACATAGGTAAAAATAGTAATACCACAGTGTGAAAGTACTCTGTTACAACTGAAAGTCTACTTAAGTTAACTTAAGTAAAAGTACTTAGCGTCATATACGTAGTATCAAAAGTACCCGTTATGCACAATGACCCACTTTAGAATAATGTATATTAACCGGTAAATTATTATAATTATTGATGCATGAATGTATATGTCACTTTAATGCTGAAGATGGTGAAAGTGGAGGTAATTTCAACTAATTTACATACTAGTTGGTGGCTTAATAAATGTAGTTGTGTAAAAAGTACAAAATTAGTTTCCAAAACGTAGTGGAGGAGAAGTATAAAATAGCATAAAATGGAATTACTCATGTAAAGTACAAAATTACTTACTACACTACTTGTGTCTAAATGTACTTAGTTATATTCCATCACTGGGTTACAACATTATTGTTTCAATAAGTAATACAATTAATCAAAATATAAGAAAAAGACAAAAATCTATTAATAAAGAAATGTAGTAGGGGATGGTCAGTCTAACCGTTATATTTAATTAAAAAAAAAACAGTATACAAAAACACACCCTTGTACTGCAAGAGATACACTACAACAACTACAAAGGATCTAACCAGATGAAATATTTGGTTTAATTTATGATATGATGCCTGAAAAAAGACATCTATGTAACCCGTAAATGAAGGAAACAAGAGATGACCAGACCGCACATAATTCAATGAAGGCATAGGCACTTTGATAAACAATGATCTAATCACGTAGTCTTGTTATGAATTACATCAGTGTTACCAAAAATTGACATTGCCCATTCATTTTCTTTTCAGATTTACCCTCTTTGGGGCCCCAAGTGAGATTTTGCTTTTTCACCACATCTTAACCAACTTTGAAAACTGATGACATCAGGTCATATTGGAGTTGTTTGCCCGATGTGTATGCATTGGAGGGTGTCGTGTACTGATATAGTGGCAGTTCTAAAGTGGTTCCAGGGCCTCTGAGGCAACATGCCTGGATGTCATTATGCTCCGTCACGCCCCTTAATTCGAGTTGTTTTCTACCAGACCAGGAATTTCTATTTAATATTGTCATTTTTACCAGAACATTAAATTATTTCTCTTACACAAGTTACTATATTTTGTCATGTTGGTGAAGACATGTATTCTCTAGTTTTCATAATAAGATTCTTCAAAAAAATGAAATGGTGCTCCTTTGGATTGCAACATGTAATAATGTCAGTCAGTGTGTATTTTGCAGCATTGTTGAAATAAAACAAAGCTAGTTGGTTTTCTGGTACTGCGCTTTTTTTAAGACTACTTCAGCACCATGGACAAGAGTCTGCAATTTCCCCAGTTTAAAAGCTGTAAATTCCTGTTGAGCCATGTGAGACAACATTCAAATCCACATGTAGCTGCTGCTTTACAAAAAAGTATGTCTTGGGAAAAGTTTTTAAAAAGAGTTGGTTAATTCAAGGAATGCAGAATTTCAAATTCGGCTGCCACTCCTGTGTATTATGTGTAGTATGTGCGTATTATCCGTGCTAAAGATTGGTCTTTGTACAGTCCGTGAAAAAATTTCCTCCATCAAGACCCAGTTATAGGCGCCGGCCCTCACCATGTCTTGCAACCCGATCCACGCTAAATGGAATTCTTCTTCTTCTTCTAAAAAAATATAGTTGGTCAAGAATGCCTGGTCTTTAACATTCAAAACAACAGCTAGGTCACCCCCTACATCAAGACCTTCTGCAAGCATCTTCTCAACTGTTGTTGTGGACAACATGAAGCAGCGTGCTCCGTCCAGCTAGGCGGGCAGCGTGAACATTGCAGTGGGCTTTTGTTGCAGAATCTCCAGAGGAAGGATAGTTTGTCAGAGAACAAGACTTATTTCTTATTTATCTGCTTGCAGCTGCATGGAGGTTTGCCCTTCTGTGTTTAACAGGAGGTTTTACTGTCTGCTCTCTGCAGACGGCAGGTTGATGATGTGCAACGATTCTTTCAGCTGCAGGTTTGGTCGTCTGTTCTGTTCTTCCACAAGGTTAAAGTTTTCTAGGGTTGACTTTAGAAACATGTCCAGCTTTTTGTTTTCCACTTGCAACTGTTTTTGTCTTCCAGCTTTTTCTTCAAGAGCAGGCTCAGTTGTGTTTTTTCTTGCGACATGTTTTTCAAGTGCAAGTTCAACTGTTTTTTCTTGCAATGTGTCGTTAAGGAGCAAGCTCAACTGTGTTTTCTCTTGAGATGTGTAAATTAAGAGCAGGCTCAACTGTGCTCTTTCTTGTGACGTGTTGTTCAAGAGCAGGCTTAGCTGTGTTTTTTCTTGCAATGTGTTTTTCAAGAGCAGGCTCAACTGTGTTTCTTCTTGTAATGTGTTTTTTAAGAGCAGGCTCAACTGCGTATTTTCTTTCGACATGCTCTTCAAGAGCAGGCTTAGCTGTGTATTTTCAGCAGACAAGGTGAATGTGTACAGCTACAGTTGGCAACAGTCAATTCCATGAAGGGTTATGTTTTAATCAGTGAATTTCAAAAGTTCCTTTAGTTGATTGTTTTCTATTTGCAAGTACTTGGTGTTGTTGGTCGCAATGAATATCTCCTCTGCCATATGCTGTAATTCTCCTGTCAGATGTTGCCGTTTATTCATCTGACTGAAGAGGACGCCGGTCACACCACAAAAAAGCCATCAGAATCACAATCAAAATAAGTTGCCAACTGGCTAGCATCCTCTTCTTTAAGTGTTTCTATTTCATCTTGAACTTCAGTGGCAACATCTGTTGGTCCCTCTCCAGAATTTTCACACACTAAGACCATAAAAAAGTAAAAAAAATTTATCAAGAGATGTTTATGTAAACAAGACATTCTTTTAATTTGAAATGACTCATTTGTCTTTATGAATTGAAATTGTATGTTCTCATATTCCACATATCTTCATCATTATCAGCTTCTTACAATTTGCCAGTCCCTTGTAGCCACCATCACCACTTATGGGACTTAAATACAGATGGTTGACAAATTAAAGGAAAAACAAGATCTCTTTTGCAAGGGAGATAAAAAGAAAAAAATCAAAGTCAGACATTTTTATTTCTTGTGTGTATGTGCTATCTGTATCTTTCTCCGTGAGGTACTTTGTACTTTGTTTGATAAGTGCTATACAAATAAAGTTTATTAATATTATTATTATTTATATAACAAAAGAATTTAGCATCAGAGACCGTCAAAGACATCACTAAATAGATTTTAAAGATGAAAGTTTATATTATATAATTTGGTCTTAAAGACATGGTGGCGAAGAGCAAAACAAAAATTCCATAGTCTCTGTGTAAAACTGGGTTGAGATCTGGTGACTATAGAGGCTGTAGAATTTTGTCACACTAATTAAACAATTCAGTGAGCCCTGGTGCATGAGAGGCCTATGTTTTTCCCTTCAGTAAATTAATTTGCATCCAAGAACCGATAATGTTGCACTTCCCCATAGCTGAAGAAAAAATCCGTTTCATATCTGTGGTACAATCCGGATGACTTGCAGCAATAACACGAAAGATGCCTGTTGGTCTTTGTAATCGTAATACAGCGAATTATATTTGGACCGATTTGGACTAGCGACAGAAAGAACTACAACACCACAGGAGTAAAAAAACATTCTTCAATGTGCATTAGAGGTAGCGTTACATGGACGTTGGAAAATAAATACCCGTTTAAAATTATTTAAGACCTACAACACAGACTTTACGAATTTAAGACTTTTAAGGCCTTAAATTTTGCAGAAACCCTGCAGGACGTCTTCCTGACAGGTGTGATTATCAGAGCAGCTCCTTTAATCTGGAGTGACAGAAAGTGACCGTGAATCTCAGAGGAGGAAAATATTCTGGCAATAAAAGTACGGTGTCGGTGTGTCAGGTAATAAATACTTACTTATAATACCAACAAAAGTCTGTTTCCAAACAGCTGGAAAATTGAAGCAGGTTAACAAACATCTCCCCTTCCGGCTGGAAGCTGAGCAGGAAGCTAACAGAACGTCTGTTATGTCATGCAATAAAATGCAAATTAATTATTTAAAAATCATACAATGTGATTTTCTGGATTTTTGTTTTAGATTCCTTCTCTCACAGTTGAAGTGTACCTATGATAAAAAATTACAGACCTCTACATGCTTTGTAAGTAGGAAAACCTGCAAAAAGTATTTCATACTTGTTCTCCCCAATGTATGTCAAAAGTCGCATGCCCCTGGAGCAACTAGGGGTAAAGTGTCCTGCTCAAGGACACATTGGGGAATTAAACCCAGGTCTCTCACACCAAAGGCATGTGTCTTATCCACTGGTTCATCATCACCCCCCAGAGAAACAGACAAATCCATTCACATCCACCTTTCACTCTGGCTGAAGCGGACTGCACCAGGAGTGTCAGTGTCAGTGACCACAGTGAGGAGTGTCAGCAATGTCTGATTCATCTTTGCACTGCAAAATACAAACAATCCAATTATGAGGATAATTATAAAAGAAAGCTAGCACTGCATACTCATCGGTGCCTCCCCCACACTTAAAAGCATATTTTTTATTTCTTCCAAGCCTGTCTTGATACAATACTCACATACCAAGAGTTACTGGTGGCTGTTATGATTCCTTCTGTCTATACTGACTTTGTGTTTACTTGCTGAGCTGCAGCAGTGGGATACTTCCTTCCAACAGTAAACCTACACAATGACCTAAAAACAATATCCATTTAATTTTTTAACTAGGCTGCTTAAGCCTTATTTACCTTCAACTAAACTAAACTAGCCTCCTAAAATCCTGTGTCCTCATATGGGGAATTTAGGTTTTGAGATCCATGCACCATATACTTCATTCTGCTCAACTTAGACCTATTGTCCTCATTAGGCGCACACACCAGCTTGC